GTCCTTTAGTCTTAAGCTTTTGACGATCAGACTCCTCAGTATTCCGGTCTTCAGTCTATAGTTGTGATGAAACTGGAAATTCAGGATTAGTTCCTCATGTGATTCCTTTTTAACTAGTCTCCTCATGTGTATTCCGTTGGCGCGCATGACCTCAACATCATGGAAGGGTAATCGTTTATCTTCCTCAATTCTTCCATCAATTTGGCTTATAAAATTGAGTAACCCATCCAAATTTTTCTCACCATCTGGCCAAAGTGCAAAGTAGTCATCCAGATATCGCATAAACACTCTTGGTTGCAGCGGTGACTTTTTGAATCCCTTCTCCAATTTGTCCATGTATACATTTTCCAAAAGAGCTGGAAGTGGATATCCCATCGGTTGTCCAAATATTTGCTCAGATATTCCCACTGAATGTAAAATATGTTGTACTTACTGTCAGGTTGTCAGGAATATACCAAGTCCACGGCCCGACTGCGGAAATTATCTGGACTCCTAACAAGGTGCATTCCTCTAGGTCTTCCTGCCAATATGCCCAAGTTGCAAAAATAACGTCAAACCACTACTATTCAACGAAAGAGACCGCGATTATACAAAGGCCACACCATCTTGGTCTTCATACCTTTTCGATTATTTTTAGTTTTCTACTATTCTTGTTATTATTGCCCTTGTCAGATGACAATTGCCATGCTATTTGCTCCCAATCATTCACTGCAGAATGGTCGTGGAGACAGAATGTATCAACATCTAATTCGTTTGCTTTTTGTGTATTTCGTGCTTTTTTCCCTCCCCTTTTTTCGTCAATTCCTCATCCTTTTCTTAAAGGCCTTTACAGCAGGCATTGAGGGTACTGGCCTCCATGGTGCTTTGATGGTGCTAGACCCTAGCTTCACGGCAACTCGTCTCATCAAGCTGCTCCGTCTTCCACCGACTCTACCTGCTGCCGCTTTTCTGAACGACCGTCTCCAGGCTTTGATCAGGCCAGCCAGGTGAGCCTTCTGCAACTCGCAGTTTTCTCTTCTTATTATTCTTCCCCTCAACTTTGTTATTCTCATTTTTTCCTATCTTTATAACTATTTAAATCCTATTAAAAATGATCTTCAAAAGTCAATCAGATAAGATCCACTACCCCTTCAACGTTAAAGGAAATTTGATTATGAACTTTGGTTTTCTATGATTGGATCTCAATATTATTTTGCTTATGTCGGATA